CAGCTCTCCAGGGTCTCAGGTAGAGAGCTTTCATATCGCCTACCATCTTCTGATCCTTTTTTTTTTTAAACTGCACATGTCGGGGATTGAACCTGGGACCTTCTGCATGCAACGAAGATGCTCCACTGCTGAACCACAGCCCCTCCCTCTCCCCTGCATCATCATAAATACAAGGCAAGCTGGAAACAAAGATCATCCACTGCATTGTTCTGTTTTTATAGTACTTTGTTAACTACCTCAAGCCACTCTCTGGCAAAGGGGCGTATATACTTCCTAAATAAATAAAAATGAACCGATCCCCTCCCCTGCAGCACACCACACAGACACCTGCTTGCTAGTCTGGTGCTCACCTTTGCCAGGTGCGTTTCCAGCTTGGCCTTCGCATCCTTCGTCTCCTTCACCCTGTTCTGGAAAGCGATGTTGACTGTCTTGTTCTGTTTGCGCATGTCGCCCGCCGTCTGGGACAGGATACTGTCGATCAAGGCACGGAGCGCCAAGGAATTGTTCCGTTGCTTGTCTGCCTTTTCGACATTCACATTTGAGAATTCCACCCACTCCTGGGGGCTCACTGAGCTATCGAGGGAAGGGGGGGGAGAAAGAGATCAGATTGACTCTGGATGTCCAGATCTGCCAAAACTGTGAGAAATGGAGACATCTGAACAGATAAAGGAAAGCTGCTGAGGTTTCTAGGTGGTGCAGTTTAGAAAGTAGCTGACATTATTTAAAAAATGTGGAGAAGTTGTAAATGGCTACTGAATGAAATTAAAGGAACATAGCCATTATTTAGGAGCACATGCTCTTTTTTGCCTATGACTTTCAGTGCAGTCGTATGCAATGGTACTCTGGTCCAAGCCCAATGAGCTTTGGCTAGAATTACTCCCCATACAACTGTGCTGTTGCTGTCTGACAATTCAACCAGTCTCCTGGGTCTGACTCATCTCCCACTTGAGCTCTTAAAAATGCCCCATATTGCCTCTGTAGATGCAGGTGCTTATTGTACCTCCCTTCCACTAGCTAACCTTGGGACTATCTTACTCTCAGAAGCATACTGCGGATGCAGAGGAAGAGCTTTTGGGGAGGGACCTGCCTGTCATCCACCGAAACGACATTCTGGGCGTATCGAATATTCGGTGTGTTGTTGTTCAGGCTGGAGCAGTAGTTGTCAATGGTCAATGCAGTGAACTTGTCCTTCAGATCCATTTCCAGGTTGTATTTGGCAGAGCGATTTAGCCTAGAAGAGGAAAACAGCCCACTGTGAAAAACAACACATCACATCGGGAGACCCAGGTTTAAATCTCCCATCTTCCGTGATGCCCACTGGGTTGTCAAGTTCCAGTCACACTCTCTCGGCCTACTGTGCCTACCAAGGTTGTTGCAGAGACAGAAGAGGGAAAGGAGAACAACAAATGCCATCCTGAGCACTAGCCAGGTATGCCAGAATGCTCAAGATTTGCACAGGACACAGAAAAAAGGCTTAGGAGCATGCATGCATGTGCTCAGTATCTCTGAATAGTGCACTCACAGAGGGAGGATAGTGCATCCCAGAGACCAATTTGCTAACACAGTTCTGTGTCTCAGTTGCCCCTGCTGTAAAATGCACAGGTTAGCCTTCAGTCCCCTCCTTCGACAGCAGTCATGGATTGGAAAGCCTCATGCCTCTCAAGTGGACACGTAGAAGGCAGCAATTTTAAGAAGCCAACGAATGTGGAACCTGCTGAATGGCCTTCCTTGCCAGTCT